ACGTGCCAGACACCCCCATGGTCAGATCTGGATATGGATAGAGATCGCTGAACTGTTGTTAGAGAGGTGAATACTACAGAGAGTAATGTCGTTACGAGAGACTAATTTCCCAGGTATAAATTGCGAAACAAATGCAACTGGTATCAGCAGAGTCCAGAGCTATTACTGGGTGGCAGATTCCGTCATCAGATAGCAACTGACCCAACAAAAGGTGATGTTATTTTAGATTCTGTGTGAGTAAGGGAGGGACTGACTGCAACTGCAAAAGAAAAAATGACTCAAGCAGCTTAATGTCTTCAGAGCAGAAGACCAAATAGCCATGGTGACAGTGAGTTGTCAGACTTGTGTATTGTCTTTTAAAAACAAACCACAGATGAGATTCTGCTATGTCTCAGGTAGGCTTTGCCAGAAGAAAGAAAGATGCATTTGTATGATTGTACCCTACTGGTTTCTTGTTTGGAATACAATATACCGGTTTAACCATCTTCAAAAGCGAGTGAAAATGAAACTGGAACAGGTGCAGGAATGGGTCATTAAGGTGACTGGGGAGTGGACAAGAGCTTTGCTCAAATGCTTTAGTGGCAGGCACTGAGAAGGGACGTAACTGCTGTCTAAAAATATCCTAAGGTAGATCAGAGTGGGAAATAGTAATTTTAAAGCTCGTGTTAAGTATGAACTGACTAGGAATAAATTTAGGCTATAAACCATAAATTCATTGACCGTCAGGACAACTAGGCTTTAAAACAAGAGGACTACCAAAGGCAAAAGCTTCAAAAGGTTAAAGATAATTTTATAAAAGTAGCTACATGGTTGGGTTGTCTGTAGCAGGAGACTAGATGCCAGTGACCCAGGCGTTATCTCCTGCCCTGTGCCCCTGTAGTCTTAGGAGGCCCCATTCCTGAAGTGACGGCCATGTGCGTCGTTATTTCTGCTAGCCTGGAGTTTGCAGCAGGCTCGGGGTCTCAGGAAGGATTTCCCAAAGAATTCAATGAAGTTTTAAGCAGAGAGAGGCTGCTGGCATTTTTCACATTGTTTATCTTATTCCTAATCCAACTATGAAGCAAACACATATCCCAGAATCTGCTCCTGTATTACTCGCTCAACCAAAACGCCTATTGACATCAATGGGAGTTCTGTCCAAGTGAAGACAGCAGGATGAGGCCTGACATCTTTCCTTCCACCCAGCTGGAAAATAATAATAATGATGATAATTTTTTAAATCCTCATAGCAGTTATTCTTTTGAAAAGCTAAAATAACATGGTGCTGTGACTAGAGAGTTATAAGGGAAAGTGCATCAGGAATGTAATATTGTTTCCAGATGTACAATGTCATAAAGAATTTTTTCCACACTTGGAACGGTAACAGGAATTTCTTGAGAGAGATCATTTACACAGTGATGAGATATGTTACATGTAAGTAAATGCCTGTATGCCTGGAATGTTTGTACCATATGTCTAAATAGGTGTCTGTGAGTGAGACAGCTTTGTATGTATGATGGTGTGTGTTTACTTGCATGTATGTGATTTGAAGAGGAGCATACTTTAGAATGTAGAAATAACAATATAATGTACAGATAGGGGAGGAAAGATTGTACCTGTGGGTTTGTAAAGAAATACAACACTTTGAGCTGTGCATGGAAGTAAAGAGGGGCAGTGCAGCTCAGAGAGCCCGGTTTAACGTGTTAAAGACAGTTCGACTGAGTGTCATGGTAGGTGAATCCTCATTGGGGTTTTTGAGCCGGGATTATGTTACAGAAATCCACCCAGGAACCGAAAATAACGTGGAGATAGAGCATGTGCATTTCTTCAGTGTTGCTGGAGAATCGTTGGTTTGTGTCTGTGGCTTCATAGTTAATTACAAGACCCTTGCAGATTTGCAGCGGGAATGTCAAGAGCTGCCGAAAACACCGCTTAGAAGCCTGTAGCTCCCTCGCTGTTCCTAGAGATTAAACCTACTTTTGGATGGAGGAAGGAGCAGCACGTTGCTGTGTCTATTTCTTACTTGGTCGGTTGTCCTCTGAAACTCCAGCAGAGGTGATGGGTTGATCCAGCTGTTGGGTGGCACAAAATCTTTAGTCTTTATGCTGTCTGTGTCAAATTTGGCACTCAACTGCAATTACCATAATCCATGGCCTACCTGATGTATTTCCATGTTCTCAGGTTTTAAGTAAAAGACCATCAAGTGAATAGGCATAGAAATGAAATTTCTATTTGAAATAGAATAGATAGAATTTCAAATATCTTTGAACTTGTCATACACAAGAAGTAGTGCCATCAGATCAGAAAAAGAAAAATGCACCAAAACCATTTGCCATTAATTTGCCAGTGCTGTGGACAACTCTGAGAATTTAAATCTCCAGGGAAGTTCACACATCACCTTTCATCGCCACTAAATACAGGGTTTTTTTTTAAAAAAAAGGGAAAAACGGCTTGGAATGTTTTACGATGTTAGGAGAACAAGTGTTATTGATAAATACGTGTTCAGAAAGGTATTGGCAAAAATGCATATAAATGGTTAACAAGGTAATGGTAAGAAACGTTGACCTTGATTTGTTTAGCTAAGATGTAAAGATTTTTGAAGGTCAAAGGTGTTCTCGTGTAGTGTTTTGGAGTCTAACTGTGTCTGACCCTCTAACATTAAGCTGCTGTGGCCTGCAGTTTTGAAGAGTGAAGCAAACCAGGGGAAAAGAGAGAAGGGGGAGAGAACAGGAAATGGAGTGAGGTGTTTCAGGAAGTTGTCAGGAGTTGACTGATTGATTCCAGATGGAAAGGGTCACCCTTCATGACCCAGGAAATACTCACTGGGGGAAAGCAGTTGGCTTGTGAAATGGAAGGGCCTGGGAGTTAGAGACCATAGTGGAATGCACATTCCTCTTCCTTTTATCAATAAAACATTGTTTTTTAATCTTCAATATAAAACAATCGGATTGTCATCTTCATCAGGCAAGAGGGAATGACTGGAGCAAAGTGAAGAAGTTCAGTAATTTTTATGTCCATGATCTCGCATGTTCTTACTCCACATCCTTGACAATGAGTTGGCTGGCAGTGCCGGAGCAAAGACAACAAAGGTCTCTGCTGAATTTCAGCAGTACCTCAGAGATTACTCCAAATAAGGTCCACGACTTTGAGAGGGTTCTGGTCCAGATCTGAACTTTGCGTTTTGTCCTGTCCCTGAGAACGCCGTATTTATTTACCCTAGGTCCCAGCCTGTGAAATGCCAAGTGGCTTTGACCCTCCTATGATGAATGGGAGAGGTAAACAAAAATGGAACTGCTCATGGAGAGAGGTCTAGAAGGGCATCTTCCAT